CTTGAGTTACCTATCACCAGCTTTCTTGTCCCTTCCTGCCTTCTAGTCCTTGTCCCTGGACTGCTATGCCTCATTAGTCCCATTTTGTTTTATGGGGTCATCATTTTTCTTTAAGCAAAGTTACTTTACTTAACTCAAGTAATTTTTCTTCAGTTCTTTCCTAAACCCAGTATTAAATTTAAACTCAAGGGGAGAAGTTATTGTAGGAAAAAAAAAGTATTTGTAAATCACTTTGAATGCAATTGGTGCATACGTACAAATGCTGAAATCAGAAGATTGTTCTACTATTTTAATACTAAATGCATGTTTTAAATCATTGTAATTGCTTTTGTGTCTAATTGTTGTAATTTAATCTTAATTTTTTTTTTTTTTTTTAAATTGTCTTCTTCCATTATACTCATGTTGCTTAGAGCCTGGAAAAATAACCCATGATTTTCCTTCAGTCTTCACTAGGCTCCTCTACTTCTTCATTCCAGTCAGTGGGTTCCTACGGACCTTTCGGCAGGATGCCGACATACAGTCAGTTCAGTCCAAGTTCAATAGTGGGACAGCAGTTTGGTGCTGTTGGCGTTGGTACGTGCTGCTTTTGTGTGTATGTGTTTGTATGTAATCTTCCTTCTTACCCCAAAAAAGTATAGAAAACTTAACACCAGCCTTTGGAAATATTGTTTGATGTTCCTTTTATAACCTTGTTTTATCATGTTGAAACCACATTTTGGTTATTATTTTAAAGGCTTTATTTAATGTCCTTAATGACTAAATGATTATCAAGGTCAGCTCTCACAGTAGTTAACATATCTTTTAACCTAGATGTATCCAGTTACCACATTTCATTGGATGTAATTTTAAGTTTACATATGTCCGTTTAAAATTAACTTTTTTTCCGATATGATGGATTTTCAGAAAGGGGTTTGTAGTGGCGAACTAATGCCATTAAGGAATATTATGCATATTATGTGGAATGTGAATGATAATCACATATAACACCCACCTATGAGAATGCTTATACATAGCATGTTTGAGAGCTTAGTGCT